TGACGGATGTCTTATTCAACGCCAACTCATCCATCAATTTCTACATGTTTTTTGGCGGCACTAACTTTGGGTTCATGAATGGCGACCGAGTGGTGACCAGTTATGATTACGACGCCCCTCTTTCCGAGACAGGTAGGTGTAGAACCCCGGCTGTGAGGGTTATAGTGGGTGTAGTTAAATGATGTCTACTATTGTTATTGTGACTGTAATTTATAGTATTGTTTTTGATTTTGTAGGCAATTATACGGCAAAGTATTGGAAAACTAAAGAATTGGTGGAAAAGTTTGTCAAAGAGAGAGGTTTACCACAACTATTGATACCCAAACCCCCGGAGTATCTGAAACCCAAGGCTTACGGAAAGGTTAAAGTCGTTGACTATCTGTCTCTGGAGGACGTGTTGAGCAAAATCAAGCCAATCGTCACCCAAAAGCCAACGCATATGGAGTTATTGAATTTGGGTGACAATCATGGTCAACATTTTGGGTTCATTAACTATAGGCTCGCAAATTTGCAAAAATTTAAACACTTGAAACTAACCGGTAATTTACTCAATAATATTACACATTGTAAAATTTAGTAGCATTTATATTTATCATGTTATTTTTGATGCATAAATAGGTGGTGTATCGGATCGGGCGGTAATACTTATTGACCACAAAGAGGTGGTAACCATAGAGACTAATAAAGACTACGAACTGAACGTAACTGACTCTCAATTCGCGAATACAACGACCCATACGTTGGATATTATTGTGGAAAACATGGGTCGTGTGAACGGCGGCGCAGAAATGAATTCCGCCCGAAAGGGTCTGAATGGAGACGTGACTATTGATGGGAAAATAGGGTCAAAATTCGAGACATTTCCCATTGAATTGAAACAACAATTTGTTCAACAAATGCATGAATTGAAGGGAAAGCCATTCGTTGAGGGCATCAAAAGTCCATCACTTTATAGGTTATCATTGGATATAAAGGAGAGTCCGAGCGATACGTTTGTCCGATTGGACGGCTGGACGAAAGGCAATGTGTTTGTCAATGGCTTCAATGCGGGCCGTTATTACT